ACAAAGTCCTTTCTGAAGATTATTATTTAATGTAATTAGTGATTAATTTACGTCTGTTCTTTAGTTGAAGGTCAACCCTGTTACATGAACTGAACTCTCGTTTTAACCTCTAAAAGTCTAAGCCGTTAAATCAGAAGGAATAAGGTTTTGAGTGTCTGTCCTATATCTAGGAGATACTGTATAAGAAAGCTCAGGAAATATTTTAGTTTTATTGGACACATATTTAACCCCTTTTTTTTGTTGGCACAAAACTACCTCCATACTTCCGTTTGTTTGTATGGGTTACCTTCAGACGAGTCCAGTGACACTTGTGGGGGCCATAGAGCGGAACAGAGAATGCCATCATGAGAGTCTCCCCTTTCCATAGAGTGGTCAAAAACGTTTGGACGTTACAGACGTTTTCGTGAGAAGACCGATTTTCGGGATATCTCATTGTCTGACAAACTCCTCTCTAGCTCTGCCACCTTTCACCGCAGATGCGGAAGGCCGACATAGGAGGATGTGGTGGATTGGGACACAGCCCATGCAAAACCTGATATCTCTAGCTTAAACTGACTGATTTTGATGGGGATTTTTACAATTATGTTACTGACGCACGGGTGTGTCAATAGACTCTTAAGGATTTTAACATGGTGAAACTATTCCTTTTTTAATTATTCTTTCAAAAGAAACATTGAACATATAATAGTCAAATCATAGTGTAAAAGCAGGTGAGCTGATACTATAACACGTAAACCCTGTTACCGATAGCAGGGTTTGGGTCAATTCGAATTGAAGGCAGTCAATTCAGGAAATAAACTGTAATTCCAATTCAATAACTGCAAAGATTGCATATATTTTCAAAGGCACCTAAATATTTTGTCTTGCCCATTCACCCTCTGAATGGCACACATACTATACACAATCCATGCCTCAATTGTCTTAAGGCTTAAAAATCCTTCTTTAACCTGTCTCCTCACCTTCATCTACACTGATTGAAGGGGATTTAATAACTGACATCAATAAGGGATCACAGCTTTCACTTGGATTCACCTGGTCAATCTATGTCATGGAAAGAGCAGGTGTTCTTAATGTTCTGTGCACTCAATGTACACATCAATTACACAATACATGAAATAAACTGACAAGTAGAAGCTATTTATTTCAAACGTTTTTCCATTTCTGAATTTTTAATTGAAATCACTTCCTGAATTTACTGCTTTCAATTCGGATTGACCCCAACCCCTCGATAGGCTAGAAATGTTTTAACAATGAAAAATGTTTGTGAAGCTTGCATTTAATTGCCCCTCCCTGTTGCACACAGCAAAGTTCCATTCCCCTTTGTCACAAGGGGATTTATAGCTGATTTAAATTGAAAGCCTTAACCCTGTTATGGTCAACCCTGCTACTTTAATGTCCCTTTATTTGCACTTACTGTAGTCATTTTTTTATTTCATCCCTTGAGATGGGAAAACATGTTTTTTATGAAGTTGAACAGAATGTTCAAATTAGGTGAAACAAATGTTTGTTGTTGTTTTCTTACCAAGTTACACTACCCAAAATGTACTCTATTCGTGGAATGACCAATATAGCAATGAACAATTAATTGTAATACTGCTCTAAAATTGCTCAGAAATGTCTTCATCATTGGTGTTTTTGCTTTTGCTTTAATCTAAACAATTTCTCATTAATGCATGTTCTGTTTTGATATCTATGTTTTGATATTTTCATTAAAACAGATCAAACCATTATATTATATCAGTGGAAAATGTATTGTAGCTTTATTTAGTCATTTCAAGAATAGAAGATCAAGATACATTTCTTAATCAAAATCAAATTAAAACCCACTGCTGTGAGAAACTCATGCATATTTGCCCACTGCATAATAAAATATTGTACCTGTTAATCACTCAATATGATAAGAGGTGTCCTATTGCCTGGTTTAATTTATCCTACTCCTGGATGTGGGTCGTAAAGTCATTAACAGATTGAGATTTAGCAGAAATAATGTTTGTGTATCTACTCAGGCAAACAGTGGACATGGTGATCTAGGGGGGTATTGTGCAGGCCCAATGATGAGTTCCGTGCCTCATATAAACTCCTTCTGTCCTTTGTGTATAATGTGATATTGGCTACAGATGTTATGAAGGCTGTATAAACTCTGATCCTATCAGAAAGCATGAGTAAATCTGAGTCCCTCTGTGAAACTTTATGAGTCAGTTACACATCAAATAAAGCCTGGAAAGAGCTGAGCAGGGCTCCGTACCAAATGGTGCCCTATTCCCTATAATGTACTACTTTTGACCAGAGCCCCTGGGCCCTGGTCAAAAGTAGTCCACTATAAAAGGAATAGGGTAGCATTTGGGACGTACCCTTGATATCTTTTCGTGAGGGGTATGTCATTGTATAAACACAACACTATATTTGTTCTGAACAAAAGAAAGAACATTTATTCAAACTCATCTGAGTTTTCTAGATTGTGGTCAGGTCTTGTCCTCCAATAACAGTTGACTTCATGTTTTTTATTGCAGTAAAAGCTTATGGTTGCAACAGCCAGCTGCAACCTCAATTAGCCCTCTCAGCTGGGAATTGCTGTAATGTTCAATAGCTTCACTTAACGATTTGTGGATATTCCAAACAAACATTTACATTTACATTTTAGTAATTTAGCAGACACTCTTATCCAGAGTGACTTACAGTAAACCTTTATCAACAAAGTGAGAAGGGGTTGGTTTCAGAGTGGCCACATATTATGACAGGAAGTAGCCAAAGTACTTTGTGTAAACCCTTAATGGCATGACTCAGAAATGATGGGATATAAATAACCTCATCAATCTTCCTGACAGACATTCACATCCTTATTTTTATCCCTGCACTTTTGAAATGATGATGGGTTATTGATTGTGTTCTTGTTATTAGATTCCATCCCTCCTAAAATTGGATGATATTTCAGGGAATTATATATTTCTGATAAAAAAGGTATTCAGCTGCCAGGTGATCAGAAACGTTATCTTTAGTATTAGCTTATGATAGATTTTTTGTGACTTGTGTTTATCTTGTACATGCCTCATATAGCATTTGAATCTGTCATGTGTGAATGTTGCTGTTATATATATCTTTATCTTATCCGACTTGCCACAACTACATTTCCCTCTGGGAATGACAAAGTTATTATATTCTATTTAGCTACAGTATATTTATGTTCCCTTCCTGTGATTCAAAATAGTCTATGTACATTGAATTATTATGGATACTTATATTTAATTGTTAACACATTGTATTCATAGGGCAAACTGTCTACAATAGTTATTAGAGATGAACATAATATATACTGAAAATGTATAGTCTGTCTATGATTTCCACAGTATTTTAAGGTCCAAAGCAGCCGTAATTTTATTTTTTATCAATATCAAATCATTTGTGGGTAACAATTAAGTACCTTACCGTGATTGTTTCCATTAAAATGGTCAAAAAGAAACAAAAATAGCTTCTTTGCAAAGAGCAGTTTCTCAAGCAAGAATTTTGCTAGGACTGTCTGGGACTGGAGTGGGGAGGGGAAAACTGAAAAGTAGCTGTTGGCAGAGAGGTTTGGAACTCTCTTTCTTATTGGTCTACTAGGCTGACTAATTTACTGCCTGGTGATGTCAGTCTGAAATTTCAGGTGGTATTTTCAAACAGCTCTTACACTAAAAGGGCATTATCATCATTTTCACAATTTCACAGTATTATTCCAACCTCATAGTGTGGTAATATATATAAAACACTGGAAAATCACGTTTTTGACTGCACTGGGCCTTTAATGTTTGCAAACTTGGATGGTTCATTAACTTATTTTCTCATTATGATGCGCTTACTCCACATCACCACTTGGGTGCAGTGTTTGCTCAGCGCTTGGAACGGCCACTTTATGTAAGGGACGTTTTTCTGAGCTATTTTTCGTTTCATCCCTGGAATGAAAAAGACAGAACGTACACGAGTTTCTAAAGATTTCATTCACTAAAGATTCCACACATGATCCAGACATGCGCGTGAAATAGACAGACAGGCAATGGTCATTCATGAATGATTAAAACATGCTGAACTTTGTGATTTTGTATAAAACAAAGTCTGTTGCTTCGCCATGATCATTTCCACGGATTGTTATTTCCCATTATACAATTCCATTCAACACCTATAGATAATATTGAAAAATTGGATACAACATTTGATATTATTTTTTATAGAATATTATTTGTGAATCTGCGTAGAAGATCCCTATTACAACAAAGTAAATGTTGTATTTTTGAGACATCATTTGAGATAGTTGTAGGCCTACAGGCTACATTTTATAAACAAAATAAATGCTCAAATCCAAATGTGCTCATATAGTTAAAAAAAAAACTTCATAGGCCTCTATGGCTTGTTAAGTAACCCTATATCGTTCGAGCGTGTACATAACAGAGAATAGCCTATGTCTAGGTGCATAATGCCTTGAAGGCATGTAGGCTATATCAAATCCTAAACCTTTTTAGGATAACATTAAATAGAGAGTGAGAATGTACATATTATTTTCCTGTTTCAAATCAACTTTTTCTGTTTCACGTTTTTTGCTAAAACGCGCCCGTTCAACCATTTCTAGTTCCAGGGTTCCCTGTTTCAGAACCTGAGTACTGGACAGCTCCCGCTCTATTGCCTACCTATCGTGCGCCAATGGGGATGGGGCACAATGAACGCCCTTGACCTTGATCATTTTCACCATATATGGCTATAATTGAAGGATGGATCAGGTTGGCTTTAAGTTTGACGGGGGCGATTTGATTTTAGTCATTTGATTGAGGTATTGAAATGAACCACGCACATTGACCTCACTTGGCATACCGCCCTATCTATGCCACGCTGACAAATATTAGCATTCATTCATTGTCCCACAATTACGTGATTGAACTAAACATGCATTTGCACTTTATGACTCGGGCCATCTCATTGACTGGGAAGGAAAAGTACTACAGTATTACATTCCGAGAGGATGGGGGCAATGACGTAGATAGTATCCCCTAACGTGACTAGTGAAAAAGGCATGCCATTGGATTCAAGAATAAAAAAGCCGAGGGAAGCAGGTCTTCAGAACAAAAAGTTTCCTCTGTGAAGACAAATGTTTGGCCTCTTTCTCCCGGGGTTGTGTGCATACAGAGATCCGAGAATCGCGTTTTATGTGTGACCGCACAGAGGGTTGGACAAATTGAAGGAGCAACAGGAGGTGGCAGAGACGCTTTTCAGAAGAAGCAAGGAAATAGAGAGAGAGGGAAGGAGAGAAAGGGAGAGAGAGAGACTATCTCACTCTCCCAGTCGTAGTTGCAACCGGATCGCATTCAGCGTCTCTCTCGACACTGCAATAGGTACGTTATGCTTTCCGAACTTTTACGCACACAAATCGAGAATACAGCAACAGGCTTGGGTACTTTAGAATGTTTGGAGGTAATGTTTGGAGGTAATGTTAAGCACTTTAGAATGTTTGGGGTAAGACAATTTTAGGTAATTTGAGGCACTGTTGAATAGAAGGGGATAGATGGGGAGTTTGAATCATTTTTGTAAGCGTATTACATTATTCTCCAAAATTGAAGAAAAACCTATCCATTCTAAAAATATGCATTCATTTCGTTTTTCCTCACTCTGACTGTGGAAATGTTAGATAGTCTTCGCACATTTAACGTTGTGATAATTTTTTTCGCAGCAGGACAATGTCTAGTAAAGCGACTTTAGCCTTACTCATCTATGGAATCATAATGCACTACAGTGTCTACTGCTCACCTCTCGGGCTAAACTATCCTAACCTTAGGTAGGTACCTGTTCACCTCTCCTTCAACTGAGCATCTCTGCATGTAAAGGATTAGTAAACTGAATATTGGCAAACGTATTGTTTCTGCTGCTGAGCGCCGGTGACGAGCACAGTAGTTGTTTGTTTATCAGTTATACCTACAACCACATAGGTATATAGACCTATGCCATTTATTGCTACACAATTATTTTTTTCGTTCAATCAATGTCTGTATAATTTTTATTTCTTTTATATCTAAATTAATACGCATTGGTTTTTTTTAAATTTCCAGAGTATCTTATTAATTTGGGTATACAATTAATGCTATAGCCTACATTGGAAGATACTGGTATATGTGTTTTATTTTGAGTGTGAATATACTGAAATGTTTTGTTATGAGGGGCTTTAGAGCACTTGGAATCATATCCCTGGAACAGGGCATATTAGCAGCTATTGGTAGATCAAGCGTCTGATACAGAACTGTAGCTCTGCGTGTAGACACGTCCCATGGGAATGACAGAGAGGAGTAATTTTCAGAGGCATGAGGCAAACGGGGGAGCCACTAATTCACAGAATAACAAAGTCGATGTATTGTGTATTCTCTTAACTAAGAAGTAATAATCTGCATCATTTTATTTTAGAATGACAACCAAACATTTTATTTTTGTTTTTGAGATCTGGTTATGATGTTATTTAATTCACAATGGCAAATTTTTTAAATGAAACGTTTTTTTCTTCCTATTTCCGATGGGTTCGGGTTTGGTTGCCTTTGGGGGGCTATAGCCTATGCTTGCACTATATTTGTTCTGTAAGGTGTTGCAGCCAAATTAGGATTGGTCGATAGCAATTACAATTATTTAACATTTAAGCAGATACATGTTGGCTATTGTATCAAATATTTTTTTCATGACTCTTATTTCTTAACATAAAATATAGGCTACAATCTATAAATACATTAGTAATTTATTTCAGTGTTTGTTTTCAGAATTGGTTTAGTCATGATTATGCATGATTAAGCCCATATCAAAAAGCATATAATATTCAAATGCATTTTCGATTTCAGACTTGAAAATGAGGTTTATGACGAGGATGGGAATTCGTTACCGGACTTGGCTTTTGACAGTGATCAAATTGCTATAAGAAGTCCCCCGTCTGTGGCTGACGACTTGTACACTTTATACTACCCACCGGAGAAAAGGTGACTATCATTATCACTATACTCAACTTATTATTTGTAATGTTGTTGACATTCATGCTAGACATTTCATTATTTGGGCTCGTATTTCTGTTCATCTATGTTATATGTTGTGTGTTAGTAAATGTACTGTACTGTCAAGAATCACATTTTTTATAGAATCTTCTGATGGAAATGCCTATAGTAAATTCCCCTTTAAAAGAACAAACTTCCCAAATTTTCATTGCAGCAAGATAGGGTGGTGGTGGGGGGAGGGGCGGTATTCCAATGAAGCTGATCGGAAAGCTTTTGTAGTAGAATGTAGTAGAAAGTAGGCTATTTACTAAGAAAACTTAAACAGAACTAAACACTTTTAATCTGAACTGGCCATTTCCAAAGTCATAAAAGTAACCAGCATAGTTCACTATTTAAGCTCACATTTTGGAAAGCAGCTCATATGACGCGTTGGATTTGGTATAGGCTACAGTAATGTTGCCACTTAACGCTGGGTGTGTGTTGAGTGTGATCATTTATTGTTTGGCGTTTTATCATCCCAGAACGGAAAGGCATGCAGACGGAATGTTTAATAAAGCCTACAGGAAAGCGCTGGGTCAGTTATCAGCAAGAAAATATCTCCATTCTCTGATGGCAAAGCGTGTAGGGTAAGGACATCTTCTTGGTTGTCGTCTCTTATTTTGTGATCTAAGTTATTTTTGGTGTTCGTTTTTCTTTTAACTCTGATATTCATTCTGTTTCGTTTAATTTTCCCGTGTGTCTATCTATGTGTGTGGTCTTCCCACCTGAATTTGACGCCTTTACGCGCAGAGTATGTTGACTTTGATTATATCTTCGAGAGTGCAAACCGGGTGCGGCATTAGATCGAATCGGTGAATCTCAGTGCTGATATTGTCTCTTTAAGGAGCAAAGCACAGGATCCACGTGGCTGAATACATTTAATTTTCATTATGAATAATTCATGTAGTGGATTAGTCCCAAGGGTTTAATATAAATATAGGCTTAAATTATTCCTTACAACATCCTCAACCAGCCAGCCTAACCATGATGATATCGAAATAAAAATATATTTGGGAGGATTTATTAAAAATGTAAGTTTAAATCAGACATGTGCAGTGCAGTCTATGGGCTACAGTCCTCCGAGGCAGGGTATACGTCTCATAACAGTGAAAACTCTTCTGCTCTTCCCATTTCTAGTGGAGGGAGCACCATGGAAGATGACTCAGAGCCTCTGTCAAAGCGACATTCGGATGGGATCTTCACAGATAGCTACAGCCGCTACCGAAAGCAAATGGCAGTCAAGAAATACCTGGCAGCAGTCCTTGGGAAAAGGTATAGACAGAGATATAGAAACAAAGGACGCCGGCTAGCGTATTTGTAGCGTTGCTAACCCAAACTACCATGTGTGTACAGCCCAGATCAAGTCATTTTGAGATAACTGAACAATCAGTGGATCGCTCTTGTGTTCTTTAAACATGTATTTATGTATGAAGTAAAGCCATTAAAATGAATATTTTGATAATAATATTGTTTTTCTTTTGTACTTAAGCACTTGAGAACGCACAGATCTACTTTGTGGACCAATCTTTTTGTTCAACCTAAATATAGCCTATATTTATTTATTTTTAGACCTACTTATAAAAGAAGATAAAATTATGGGCAAATGATCAATATGCTCTTTACCCTGTATTTTAAAAATTTAAATCTACGAATGTGAGGAAAATAAATAGTTTAAAAGACAATTAATGTATTGAATGTTACTTTTTGGCAACTGAAATTAAGAGCTTAGTGTCTTTATTTACAACAGCCCTGAAGACTTAGGTTTTCAAGACATAGACTTTGATGCCCTCCCGGATGGGGATGAGTTTGAGGCTATTTTGGGAGACTGGCTGAAACAGTTCTCTCCCGAATTTCCGGTGAGTTCCAGGCTCTTTCCCAAGGCCTTGTCTTGAGGGATGTCTCCTGTCCCTCCTTCTTTTTCTCACCTTACCCTAAACCTGTGACCTTACACTCCAAATACTGTATAAAACCCAATCGCCTTCTTTCCTCTTTTGTGCTCCTGTCTCTCTAGAGATACTGTATCTACTATATTCACACCTATATAATGCATGTCAAGCATGCATGTACAGAATATGTATGAACGTGAATATAGCTGCATAGATATGTTATACACATATAACGTGTGTGGATATACTGTATATCTTTTTAAATTCCCCATAAATATCCTATCAGAGGCTGCAGGATAATAATGTGATGTCAAACAGTATTATAAATTAATTAATTATTTAAGACCAAAACAGACATGACCCAACTGGCTTTAGAAGCCTTACATATGGTGGTAATCCAGCCACTAAAGTGAAATACTTGTTAGAATGACCCTTTGACCCCTATATGACCCCTATATAAGATGAGGACCAGAGTGCTTTTGAGCTTTTTCTTTTCTTCCTGTTGTTCTTCTTCTTCAGTGTTAATGAAAATAAGCTTACACTTTTGAACTTTGTGCGAAGTATCTTGTGTTCCTCTCTAGTGCTATCCATGTGTTTGAAAAGCTCTTGAAAACCTGGAATGCTGTTAAAGGTTTTCCATATGTCTCTTCTCGCCACATAAGAAGTATCATGAACATAGAATAACCTAGAATGTCATCGGACTGAAAAGAAAGAAAGAAAAAATTCAGAACGTTTCGACTAACATGATACTTTTTATATGGTTTCATTTAATTTCACAAATGTTGTTATTTTTCATGAGGAACATTGCAGAGGCAATTTGAAGACGTATGTGTTGCACCTTCCTGGTTGGTCTACTGTGCTTCCCCTCTATTGTCATGTGAACCAATGTGAAGCTAGACCGCATGATTAAAGTAATTGCACTAGCCACCAAATCTGTGCAAACTACTGCAATTGGATGGTTTTGTTTGCTCACTGATTGAGGTATATACATATCTGTGTTTTCTGGATGTTGTGTTGTTTTTGTTCTCTCCCCAACATTACTGCACAATGTGTGTGATTGAACGTCTCACCCCTGTCCTCTGTCGAGGAAACTCAGATGAATGTACTGCAGGGGAGAAGCTCTTAGAAATAGTATTGTCATGTTTTCCTTTTAGTCTCTTCTCAATGGGACTTGAGGCAAGATTTTGTTACATTCCAATGTATTATATGCCAAAAACAATTATTGAATGATCGTTGTTTTGAATTACCTATCCTGGCAGCCCAAGTGCAGCACAGTTAAACTTATACCTAATCAACAGTTGGACAAAGCCTTAAATATAATGAACCGTGCCTGTACTATTCTGAACACCACCAATCCCAAACTAGCTTCTCAGTTTACTTGCCTCTTTGCTGTTGATGTAAATTATCACAAGAAGAGTAGCAGAGAGAACCTGTTGAGTGCTAGATAGACCCAAGCATGAGAGGAGGAGTGGGCGGAAGAGAGAGGAAGGAGGATAGTGGGTGCAAGAGGAGAACAAAGAGAAAGAGGGACACAGAGAAAGAGGGAGAGTCCATGACCAATCAATTTGAGAGAGTAAAACAGTGATTTTTGGCAGTGAAAGGGAGTTACAAGGCAAAGGTTTCCACACTTCATTAGAAAAACCTGGCCTCTCGTCTCACTTGTACCCGTCAGTGACATATAGACAATGGTTACTCAAACAGAACAAGCCACACTTCTTCTAACTAGAAGCATGATTGGGTTTGCTACTTCTGTAATAGCCATCACGGGTTTTGGCACTATAAAAAATAGGTAATAAGATAATGAAAAATTTAGCTTCTGAATCCCCACAGTATACTTCCCTTTCCTGGCCCCAACCTCATCAGTCCACTTGCCTAAAAAGCAAGGAGTTCTAACTTCAGTAGTGCACCAGGCAGATTCTAAAGACACTGTAGGTTAGGTTTGAGCTTTGTGACACTGAGCAGTAGAACAAAGTTCTTCGATCTGTGCCTGTGTGTATGAAATCAATCTTTCTTTAATTCTGCATTCCCCTCCAGGCTTTGTGACGCAGGATGCAGCTTGCGGCTGTGGTGCCTTGCTTCGACTTTAAAATCGCCACGAATCACAGATGGCTATTTAGTAGCCCTACAATGCTGCACATCATCAGCTTACATTTCACCCTTTGGTTGTTGTTTTTGTGTTGTGCAGACATTTGATTGGATCTTTAGTGCCATTAGGTGTAGTCTCCGAGCACTCTTGCTCGCAATCATTTCTTTTGGCGGTTGTTTTTTAGAGCACTTAGACTTAGATATTTGTGATAGATAGTTGCAAACATCATGATTACCCTCTCTCCATAATGTGTATCATTTTGAAAGCGCCAACAGCCTTACTAAACGTGAAGATTAAACTTAAAACATATATTTATTGTGTAGAAAATTGATATTAGAGAGTACTATTATAATGAAGAAGAAAAAATGGCGAACCCGCAAGGGTCAAGTCTATAAATGTTTAAAAAAGGTGTTGTAAGATTTGTATGAATAAATTTTTGTAAACAACACAATTTCGTCTAATCTTTGAAACACATAACACTAGAAGTAGTTATCCTGAGCACGTAGGTGTGGATGCTAGTACAGATAACGCTGCAGCACCATTTATATACAACAATACACAACAATTGTTAGCTAATCTTAGTCCCACTCCACATATTATAGTGTATCCGTCCGATAGGTGTACTTTCTCACTAGCCCATCACACCAAAACACCTAAAGAGAGACAGATTACAGAGGAGGAAGACAGAGGAGGAGAAAACTAAATGAAAGAGGACAAGAGGAGAGTTTTTTTTGAATAGGCACCTAATGGGTATCACAGAATAGGGGCCTGAATAATTATCTTAAACTATCAACAAACAAAAACAACAACAAATGGATATAGAAGGAACCAAGTGTCCATAACTAGTCTTCTAAAAACACAGAGTTAAACATACTCATGTTGTGCTGCTAAAAGTATAAAACGTAATTTCCCTTGCTGACTATGAATGCCTTACTAAACAAATAAACAAATTATTATAAATAGTAAATCTACAATAAATGAACATCAAGGTGCTCAGAGATACCAGCTACCCATAGGAATCATGGGTATATGGATGAAAAACCCAGACTGCTACCTCTGCCCTGGTTTCAGAGAATTATAGAACACTAAATTGCTCTTTGGTGTGAATTCTGTGAAACCCTGACACTTCACTTGGCCGGGTCTCCATACCCCCAGACCCCCTTGGGACGGCACCAGTGGAGGGTCAGACATGGGAGGGATCACCTGACCAGTACCACCCACTGCTGTCCTGCTGCACCCATTATCCGACTAGGACGTCACGGATGAAGAACTTGGACCATGGTGGCATTTCTAACAAGCCTACAGGATATACCAGACCTCCCATTCTCAATGACACATTCTTTACTCTCATAGCAAAGGAAAAGGAACACTGCCACTACCTCACTCTTCAACCAAGGTGCATTAATTGAGGAGCAAACTGAAGTAAAGAGAAAATGTTGCATCATTACAAACATAGCAAAACACCAAATAAACTCAACATGCAAAACAGTCGACCAAAAGCTTACATCAAATGCACACATTAAAATGTATGCAAACACATGGCATACTGCATAGCCAATCCAACAAGTGTCTGTAGCTACTGCGGTGGCTCGAAGCTGGAATCTCCATCCAAAGCAGTCAATATTACCGTACACCACACTAATCAATAACTTCATGTTACTCCTTATCTTAGTGTGAGGTTATGGATGAATCAGACATACACTATATATACAAAAGTACTGTGGCCACCCCTTCAAATTAGTGGATTAGACTATTTCAGCCACACCCGTTGCTGACAGGTGTATAAAATAGAGCACACAGCCATGCAATCTCCATAGACAAACACTGGCAGTAGAATGGCCTGACTGAAGAGCTCAGTGACTTTCAATGTGGTACCGTCATAGGATGCCACCTTTCCAACAAGTCAGTTCATCAAATTTCTGCCCTGCTAGAGCTGCCCTGGTCAACTGTAAGTGCTGTTATTGTTAAGTGGAAGCATCTAGGAGCAGCAACGGCTCAGCCGGGAAGTGGTAGGCCACACAAGCTCGCAGAATGGGACTGCCGAGTGCTGAAGCGCGTAGCATGTAAAAATCGTCTGTCTTCGGTTGCAACACTCACTACCGAGTTCCAAACTGCCTGTGGATGCAATGTCAGCATAAGAACTGTTAGTCGGGAGCTTCATGAAATGGTTTTCCATGGTCGAGCAGGCGCACACAAGCCTAAGATCACCATGCACAATGCCAAGCGTCGGCTGGAGTGGTGTAAAGCTCGCCGCCATTGGACTCTGGGGCAGTGGCAGTCCGACAGACTAATTTGGGTTTGGCGGATACCAGGAGAATGCTACCTGCCCCAAAGCTTAGTGTCAACTGTAAAGTTTGGTGGAGGAGGAATAATGGTCTGGGCTGTTTTCATGGTTCGGGCTAGGCCCCTTAGTTCCAGTGAAGGGAAATCTTAACGCTACAGCATACAATGACATTCTAGACAATTCTGTGCTTCCAACTTTGTGGCAACAGTTTGGGGAAGGCCCTTTCCTGTTTCAGCATGACAGTGCCCCGGTGCACAAAGCGAGGTCCATACAGAAATGGTTTGTCGAGATCGGTGTGGAAGAACTTGACTGGCCTGCACAGAGCCCTGACCTCAACCCCAACGAACACCTTTGGGATGAATTGGAACGCCGACTGGGAGCCAGGCCTAATCACCCAACATCAGTGCCCGACCTCACTAATGCTCTTGTGGCTGAATGGAAGCAAGTTCCCGCAGCAATGTTCCAACATCTAATGGAAAGCCTTCCCAGAAGAGTGGAGGCTGTTATAGCAGCAAAGGGGGGACCAACTCCATATTAATGCCCATGATTTTGAAATGAGGTGTCCACATACGTTTGGTCATGTAGAATATTTACTTATCTGTATGTATGTATTTTAGACACTCGACTCACTTCACA